GTTCCTCTTTAGCTCCGTTTATTTTGCCCCCCAGTTACGTGCAGCTATATTTATGAGAGCGTGCACTGTTCCACTGTTTGCACATCAGCAAAATAATAAAACTTGAGACCACATTTGTCTGATGGTGTCTATTTTTATGCATGCAACATTGGGCCAGCTGTGTCCTTGCTCATTTTCCCTGAACAGCAACTTCTGGGAAGTTAATGCATTTAATTGCACAGTACGCTGGAATGAAATGGGCTTTTTTATGCCACTTTGTTGTATTGTGCTGCATGTGCATTGTGAACATCAACCAGCTATCTCAAAATGCCATTACGGTTAAATACTAATGTTCCTTTATAGATTTCAGATTATTTCATAACAAAAATTTACTTGACTGCCACTATGAAATTTAAATGCCAACAATTTAATGTGTTGATGTTATGTAACATACACGAAATCTGTTCATTTGTATACATTTCTTGTTATCCGTTGCATTGGGCAAGAAAAAATTTCCTTCCAACCACTCAGTGCAATGCAGCCCCAGAGTTTGTCACTAGCTGGGATCTGTGTTGCCTACCAGTTTTTGGAAAATGCCTTATGCCAAAGTAAAAACTGCTCTACCCTACACAACATTTCTATTACCGCACGTTCTACCCTACACACCTAAAAATATCTAGTTACAATGATAACATGCAGACTACTTAAAAATATCTCGTTACAATGATAACATGCAGACTACTTAAGTGGTTTAAAATTAAGTGGTTTTAAAGGAACACAAGACAGCTGATGGGAGGAAAAAGTGTTCTGGTATTTGAATGAAAAAATCAACTACAGTTAGGGTAAAGACCAAAAAATATGCAAGGGTACGTTTTACGAAAAATCAAGGGGAAGCTCTTTGCTCTTTGTAGGGAGGGTCGGGTTGCCTCTGAATACATAGTTATAAATCGAGATTAAAGCTGAGAAAAATCTCTTCTTTGCTGTACATGCGTGGCAAAAGTGAAAGCACGTCCTATCTTAAGGCAGCAGCCTTCATGAAGCCTTAAGTTTTAGCGACAACACAGAAAAGATTAACAGGTCAGCAATATCACAAATTCTACAACTACAGGATTTGTGGTAAAAAAATAAATAGAAAGCAAAAAAAAATTTGAAAACTAAGGTTAATCTGAGATAAAGCTCATAATGCTGGGGTGTGAACTTAAAATGTTTTTTTTGATGATATCCTTAATTCATAAGAAAAAAATTGCGCTGTAATAGTAACACACTTGAACCTCATAGCAAAGTCATGCTTGCCACGAAAATACTTCGTTATATACGAAAATTCGTTATAAACGCATATTTGTAGCACTGTACCTATAACAAAGCCATTCTTCACTAACTTCATTATAATCGATAATTAGTTATATCTGGGTTCGTCATATTGAGGTGTGAGTGTAAGAGTAATAAATCATGGGATTGGTGGAGCGGAAGTAAGGGCCCATTACTAAATAGACGCTATTTCTTCCATCTATTCACTGTCATCGAAAAAACTCTCATGAACCCTTGTGCATTTGCCTAAGATCGCTGGAGGGTGAAAACAATTTTCTTTCTCTTCTTCTCAGTCGATTGTATCGCCCGAGATTTCTGCAGCTAGCGTGGTTTCCATCGTCTCTGGTTTCAGAGGCATTACAAGCTTTCAACGCCTCCATTGGCGCCGGGTTTGACCCGACTATGGCCATCCGCTGACATCATCATTTGACATCACATTGTGATGTGACAGTGACGTCACAATGACTTCATAATGACAAATTCCGCCGATACGGATGCCAAGATAACATTATGAGGTGATGTTTTTTCCCGACACTCGCGTTGGCACATACAATCACTTTCTGTGTATGATGAGGCATGTAAGGCTTTCGCCTTGATAATTAAAGCCAACCACCCTCAGGAAATTTAAAAGCTCCTCCACGCAGCAAATGAATGGGAGACGACAGAGAGGGTAAAAGCCATCTACGAGAAGAAATGACAATGCTATCTCAAGGACATGTGACGTATTATATTTTGTCTGTGCAATGTAGTGTATGTTAATTAAAACAATTTCAATTTTAGTTAAAGATTTAGCTTTCGCATTTTTTTGGGAATGTAACTCTTGGATATGTCACGCGTATCATCTATATTTTTCACTGGCCACTGACGAGCAGATTGTCGAGGTGGCCCTACTTCTTATAAAAAAATCGTATTACCAACATGGGAGCCCTGCACATTCGCGTGCTTCTTGCAGGACATTAGTAAATGTTATTCCATCCATTGCCACCCTATTACTCCATGCTTGCCAAAAAATTCTGAAATTACTCTGCACTTTGGAACCCTGGCAGGAATCTATCAAAGTGTGTTGTGTCTTTTATTTATTTATTTACTTGAACATACTGCTAGCTTCACATTTGAGACTGTTGCAGGAGAGTTGGTAGAATACATATACAAAAGAACCCAGTTCAAGTAGGTGCTACATTAGTTGGGCTGAACCTGGTAATATACATGCTCTCTACATATTGGCTGTACAAACTACAAAAAAGAACAGTAATAAAGGGCCTATTACAAGGCATATTCAAAAGAATATAGTTGAAGTGGGCAAGCACATGAGTTGAACCAGACAGTGCATACGCTCTCTGCATTTATTTTGCAAGCACTTCAAGAATGAGAAGAACAGTAATAGATGACATTTTAGAAGGTTTAGCACATGAAAAAAAGCAATAAAAAGGTTTGAAGTTTACAGTAACATTATGGAAATAAAAGTGACATGGTTCATAAGTTTTACAAAAGGAGGTCTTGAAGTGAACACTGGCAAGGGGACCTCCTAGAGATATATAATTGATCGAGTACAGGGCAGGCAAATGGCGAGCAAAAGAAAGGCATACCGAGAACTCTAAATTTAGAAAAAAAAAGGAGTAACAAAAAACTTGAAAAGTTTGAGACTGGAAACTCCATTTGAATACATGAAATACATCAATAGTACCATAAGCAAAAGCAAATACATAATAAAACAATGGTTCATAATAAAACATGGTTCATGAGAAAAAAATAGTAAGTGTAGATAAATTGAACACTCAATACGCTGGAGATGAGGGTCGGCAAGTATTGACGAAATCATGAATAGCGTGGAATCAACCATGGAGACTCCTCCTGCTAGCACAAGCTGGAATTGGTTCTTCGTATTTAGTGGATCTGTGGCACATACCCACCGCTGACGACAGTTTCTCCGCACTCTGAGATCACCACATTTTTCCACCTAGCCATATACAGCTTTTATTGTTGTAAAAAGAAAATTGAAGTCATTGTAATGCAATACTGAATTGGCATCCGTTGGAGCTCGTACAGTTTGGCCGATTGGTAAACATCTTTTCTTCCGGTGCCGATCTACCGTAGTATGCAGTGGGCGGATGGAATTAACTTGGATTGTGCTGACTTCGAGCGTGCACAATGTCAAGTCATCCGTGACAATGTCAATCTCAAGACTTTGTCTAGAGCAAGGGGGTCCTAAAACCTCCTTGGTCTAGAGAGGTAGCTGGTATGGTGCTGTACCTACGTGTGTGATTGCAACGCCATACTACACAGTGGACAGTTAAACAAAAATATTTAAGCGCATACTATTCTGACCTTTTAGCATCAGGTGGGTTGGTCTGCATATGCTGCAAAATGTGCCAGCACCACAAAGTGCAAGCCTGTTGCGAAATCAGACTGCATGTTTTTCAAAGGGGCCCTGCAAAACTTCACGGTAAGAAAACGCTGCCGGTTGGTAGTCGAGTGTGAGCTAAACGTAGCACATGTCCTGGAATTTTCGAAATCGTTAGCTCTTTTTTCTGCAAATGATGTCATACCCAAGGGACCACGCCTTATGCCCAACTTATTGACCGTTGGCTGATTTGAATTACAAACATTTTTGCGGTGGTCATTTCGTGAGGCAATTAATAAACTTTGTTGGTGGAGTTATTCAATGAGAACTTGGAGAAGTGAGCACCTTTTATGAAAAAAAAATTGTACTAATGAACGGAACTCCTCATACTCCGTGAATATTGATGCCAGCGTGCCTAATCGTGTGATTGCACTAGTTAATTTTTATCTGAACGAAATCTAGGTCTCTGACTCACAATGCAGGCTGGCATAGTTACGGTCACCGTGGTAGAATATATCTATACTAGCACCGTGCTCATGAGCGATTCATCGGGTCATGAAAAAACCGATTTAATCGATAATTTGCGACCCCCTTTTCCCCTTCCCTTGTTATTTCTATGCGCGAAATAGCCACAACTGTGGATTGAACCCACTAGCCCAGCAACGTGTACTACGTAAATAGCTGTGCAACGCTTTCATGCGTGTGGTTCGTAATCCTATTTCCTGCTTAGGGGTCATTCAGAACGTTGCTGCTTGGCACCTGTCCAGCCAGTGGGGAGAATTAACCTTCATGTCCAGGTTTGCACGGAGCGCTGCCTCTGCTGACAAAATTTTTCTTTTGATATGCGGTTGCTCTCATATGTCAACGATTAGCAGGCACGAAGGAAAATTATATCCGTGCCAAACATAAGCTCAGCAGGTTCCATTCACAGGGCTGTTCGTACATAAAGCTACATTATCGGTTATTTTCAGTAGATTACACTCGGATTTCAGAACACTGGGTCGCAATGGGTCAAACAGCTTCGTGGAACAGTAATATTTACGGTAAGCACCGTACACACAACGCAACATGCGCATCGGCGTGGCGTAAACCAAAGCACAGAACATATATACCACAGAACACCTACCAGTTTACTCTACCATGCTGCCAGCATACCCTACCATGCTGGAACCGAAACTGGAACGACCTCCTGTTTTTTTTTAAAAATCACAGGAAAGATTACTCAGTACCGAGACATACACATTATTCAATGTGTTCAATTAGACATAAATTAATTCTGGATACAACTTACGAAGTCTTGGTCTTGCTTGACTCACACGTTTTAATTGTGTACAAACAGCTGGGCGCTTGTGTCTCATTGGACGGACTGCTCACGTGGTATGCATATTTGGCGCCATTTTTCACGGTCTTCCTGGTTTCTGGCGCGCAAATCTTCTGTTCGGCCCTTCGTGCGTGTCTGGACAAGCTCAGGCGGGAACAATGTTCGTCCTCAAACGAGGTAAGTGTCCGAGCAATTTGCTGACTGGCGTGGTCTCGAGTCTGCAGTCCCAAGCCAGTGTGCCTGCCGTATCTGTGCAGCAAGCGAACTCACTCGCGCTTTTTGTCCGAATTTGCATACGCACATAAAGGTTGCCCTTCAGGCCAACACAATATGCTCGCAGGCGAAGACTATTACCGCCTACTTGAAAGTTTCTGTTCCACCTCGAAACGGGACTTCTCACACATACCGCCGTTTCTTTTGACTTCAGACAGTCGCAAGGAGCCCGTGCATTTCGATAAGATCACGTCAAGGATCCACAAGCTTTGCTATGGACTCAACATGGACTTCGTAGACCCCGTAAGTATGATAATCTAGAAGTTTAGTTTTCGCAGGTTACTGGTGTTAAGTCATAGCTGTGACTTTAAGTGTAACTTTTACGAGATGGGAGAATCAATTACATTACGCGCTTTATTGTACAGCTTCCGAGTATTCCGAGGAAAGCGTGTGGTTCTGGTAGTTTGCGTCCATGACGATAATTTAAACCGCCACTGTGGGGTTTATCACGCCCCTACTTACTGATTAGGAAAGGGTGCGATGATATGTTGCCTTGCAAGAAGTGCGTTCAAGAAGCTTTTGCTACTCGAGCTCTGACTGTCTCGTCGAAGTGACTCATCGTCGAATTGTTTTCGTGTAACCGTCGTCGGGTCACCGTAACCACAGTCTCCAATAACTAGTCTCAAAACGACGAGAAGAAGGGAACAGTAGTTTTAAGACTAACGTAAACACTTCAGTCAATGGAACTAAATTCAAAGCGTGCTAAATCGACATATTCTCTTTTTCGTGGAATTAGTGAATTCTCCTTTCTTTCAGTCGTGCATTCTAATGTCTAGAGTAACAACTTGAGCAGTCCAAATCTCGTATACCTATTAAGTTGCCGTTTATTATAACTGTGGGTTTACAATTTGTAATATTTCACATGAATGCACTTGTAAGTAGCTTACAAGCTTATGCCAGCTTCAAAGTGTCTGTTGATTGGTTTATAATGTTAGTAGTGTAACCTGCGGTGGTTTTACCAGAGTTTTAATCTAGATTGGCACTGTCCGTTTGAGGATCCATGGATCTGAACAATCGAGGTTCATTTTTATTACACATATTTACACGGTCTTCGAACATCCAAACTCTCTATAGCATGTGTTCATATTTAACACCGCAAGTGTAAATGAGACACTGATTTTTCTGTCTGCAGTTACGTTCATTAGTTCAAGCTATGAACCAAATTTATCAGTTAAATAGGATTCTGTGTGTTATAGTGTTCATCTGAAGGAAAGAAGCAGAATTTTAAAGGTCATTTTTTTTTTACACAATAATTATGAGAACAAACTGACAAGAATGCCAGGAAAAGTTTAGGGGATGTTAACAGTAATAACTACGCTATAAATGTGAAAAAAGTTAAGTGGACAAAAAGGTAACTTGCGATCAACCCAGACCGAACCTTTAGTCTTCGAATCAGTCTTCATATTCATACCATAGTTGCTACAAATAACATCTCCTAGGCTTTTCTTGGCGTGATTATCTGTTAATGCGCATGAATAAGATTCATTCGAAGTTTGTTACAGGATCGCTTATCATGCCACTTTTTTTACACAGGGTTCGTACAGGTCCTTGAAATCCTTGAAAGTCCTGGAATTTTTTGCCATCCTTCAAAATCCTTGAATTTCCTGAGCAGTGCACTCTCATATCGACATCACGACCTCTTAAATGGAGTACATCCGTGTGTGAACCTGTCAAACTCCCCATTTCTCAAGCGGCGTGGGCGCACACAATCCCATTTTGCAAAAGTGCATGTGAAAAAAAAAGTTAGTTTCTGGTGAGCGTGAAGCAGTGCATGTGTTAGCAAGAAATTACAATGTCACAAGAAGAAGGACAAGCATCCCTGTACATGCAACGCGCAGCTCAAGCATGGAGGACACACAAAAAGAAAGCGCACAGGAAGAGTGCTGATGAAGGACTGTCACAGCTCGACACTGGAAGTGTGCTGCTTAAATAAATCAAGAAGGGTGCTAGAAAAGAACACGCGTGTATCCACAGGATGAGGGTAAATTAACCGCTGTCACAGTTGTTACTTCTTGGTTGTTTAAAAGCAACGTGCTGTGAGTGTCAACTGTGCACAAGCCGGCACACTTGATGGGGTGATGCCATCAAATTTCAAGTCTATAGCAAGCACCTTGTGGGTTTAAAAATATATATTAAGTTACTTCCCAAGTGTACCTAAATGCTCATTCTCCTAATCGAGGCCCATCGCGAGCGCATCCAGCACTGACGTAGCTCTATAGGAAGGGCAACGAAAGTTATAGTGATGTCACACCAGATCTGTAGTCAGGTGAGTGACCTCCGGACTTCCATCCCGTACATACTGGTAAAGCATCCCGGCTGCTGCAGGTAGCGGCGAGTTTGTTTTGCAGGTGCTTGTGTGGCACATGTGTGCGAGAGCTAACAATACTCAGCATGACACATGCAAGGCTTTGTGATCACGTGACTAAGTCAGCTACACTGCTGCGTACCTGCCCAACTCGGTCCCCACAAACAGGAACTGAAAATTGTTCATATCAAAAGGTGACAAATTATATAGCGAGAATAAATTAATCTTTGTGCATGTATCATGCTTATTGGAGCTATAATTAAAGCTTGCAAAAAGACCGTGCCAGCCAAAAATATTGTGGCACGACCCCTTTAAGGCCCGACTACACATGCGTGTTGAAGCCTATCAGCGCGTAACTTCTCGACATGGCATTGTGCCCTCAGTCATGGCATCGTGCCCTCAGTGCGAGAAGTTATTAGGACTACGCTCTTTTTTATCATTGTGATATCCATATATTTATTGTAAGTGTAATAAAACTGGTCATTTTTTAAAATTTTAGAGTGAAAAATTCCAACTTAGCATGCTGCTTTGAGTCCTTGAAAAACTTGCATCAGGTCCTGGAAAGTCCTTAAATATCCTTGAATTTTCGCTTTGGAAACCTGTACGAACCCTGTTTACAATATTCTGTCGAAATTTGTAAACAACTTCGCAAATATTTCCAAGATTTTGTTATTTCTAAACAAGTTTCCTCATCTCTTTTCAGTGCTCTATTGCTCAGAAAGTTATTAATGGTTTGTACCCTGGAGTTACCACGGTTGAGCTGGATAATTTGGCAGCTGAAACTGCAGCCACCATGACCACAAAACACCCTGACTATGCAATTTTGGCTGCCCGTATTGCAGTTTCTAATCTGCACAAGGAGACCAAGAAAGTATTTAGTGGTAAGAAATTGTGTTTGTGAGTTATTGTTGGACATAGCATAGTCTATGAAAAGTAGCTTGCAGTATACTTGTACCATATTCAAATGTGCTAAATGGCTGATTGCACTTTGAAAAGTGTAGGAAACCTGCATTTATTTGTGCTGATCTTCCATGGATTACAATATGCTATTTGCAAGCTCCACAAGATATTACAAGGTAACCTTTTTTAAAAACCTGTGCCGATTATGGTTACAAGAGTCAATAATCTGAAACCCTGCAACACCTTTTCAGGTAATTGTCAAATGACCTCACCACTGTAGTTCATTGCTTCACGAACAGATTGCCTAACAAGTTCTTCTAATCTGTCAAATACGAGTGTAATAGTAGAAATTTGTTGCACAATTTTTTCTCTCCTGTCCCGACGAGCGTGCTCAAATCTGTATGAGTGATGACAAAGGACCAAGAAGCTACTTCAGTGTGCATTATGAGCACTTCTTTTTGTTTTTGGATGCGTTGGCTCACTTCTAGTATGCTCATGAGCGTGCTAGTGCAGCTACTGTGTACGTGTGGTTGTACCCCGTAGAGGATTCGGTAACCATGCAATGCTCAAATCAGCCAGTGGCCGTCTCCTCCCCTCCACCTATGTAGTCGATTCCTCCAACAACGAAACTCACTGAAACAAGAGTGAGAAATATCTGTCTTGGAAACGTAATTTAGATTTCCTGGTGCATGCAGTACTGTAATATATGGCTCACATATTCACAGGAGCCTTGACTGCTGGTCGTGTTTTATGACCATGTTCAAAAAATGTGACAGGGCCCATTTAACAGGACTCCAAAGTACAAAGATATGAAGCACTCAAGTCGCTCAGATTTGGGTGCACGTTAAAGAACCCCAGGTGGTCTAAATTTCCGGAGCCCTCCACTACGGCGTCTCTCATAATCATATAGTGGTTTTGGGACGTTAAACCCCACGAATCAAATCATGAAGCACTCAAGTAGTTTAATTGTTTGCTGACATGATGAAGTGACATAATTTTTGCCATAGCTTTTATGAGATCATTTAGACCAATAAAGGTGATCTGAAAGTAGTGAGGTCCATTAGCACACCTTTCATGTGAAATGAACTATACTTTATATCATGTATCCACCTGAAGTTCAATTGTTAAATGCCAACAGGAACAGGAGCACTTGGTTAGGCCTTCCTTTCTGTAATCGAAACAAATAAACTTCAACTTGCATTGCAGAGGTTGTGGAAGATCTCTACAACATGGTGAATGAGCGCACAAGGTTAAGGTCTCCCATGATCAGTGACAGCGTGTACAAGATTGTCATGGACAACGCTGAAGTGAGTATAAAGATGCATAAGCCGAAATTCGGACATTCATTGAGTATTACGTATGTACTCTACTGACTGGGCTCCTGTGACATCGTTCTGCTTATTTGGTCGCAGGTCTTTAATTCTGCCATCATATATGACAGAGATTTTAACTACAACTACTTTGGATTCAAGGTGAGTCAAAAGTGGCCTATAACTTTCTCATTCGATTCACAATAATGCCAAATGCACTACTATATGCAGAGGGTTGATAATGAGGTCACCCACCATGATGCTATAGTGGTTCTGGCATTATGTCCCATGTATGGTAGCCACATTCCCTGGGGCCAGAATCCAATGAAAAAGCCTGCATACTTGAGACTCATGTGTATGTCAAAGTACCCCAGATGACAAAAAATGAGCTTAGGTTCATTCACTATGGCAAGCCTTGTAGCTGGGTAGCAGTTGTGGCCCTTAAAAACCTGACAATTAATGCTTTATTTTAATATCACTATGTGTTTTCGTGCCATTAACATGGCTTCCGCGTGAGTTTAAGCCCTGTTGAATCTCGACTTAATGCAGTGATGAGCACGCTAGAATTATTTTGTTCAATTGGGAACTTTGTAAAATTGAAAAGGAATTCGTTGTTTCTTCAAAATCTAAAATTGTAATGTGGCATCACCTAAAAGGTACTGTGGCATTTTATTTGTCACTAATGTATGCCTGTGCGTGTGAAAAGTCCGCGAAAGTGAACACTCGTATGTCCAGGCAATACAAATGAGATAGATGGTCGTGTAAAACTATTACAGGTTCCAACATTCCAACTAAACCACTCTGAAAAATATGAAATGTTAAAGATAACACAGCTGTATCACTTCAGACTTTTGCAATGGGCTAAGCAAAATAAGCCCCAATGTCTTCAGAATACACCTGGAAGTGCCAATTACCACATGCATCAGCAACGCCATAAAATCCGAACACTTAGGACAAATTATGGCAAACAAAATGTTTAATACCAGATACCTACAATGGTAAATCGTCTACAAGGTCTTGTAGATTACAATTCCATACCTTCTAAGTCCATAATCAAAACCATCCTAATGCATCATGATATTGAGTATGCTACCTAAAGTTTGTTCGATCTCTAATAACTTGTTTGTAAATTTACGATATGCTACGAGGATCTCTTGTTGTATTTTCACGTTGTGTAACAATGTTCTGCAGAAATGTTTCTTTGTGATGAATTTCTTTTGTGTTTAATTCACACTGCTTAATAAGACTATGCTTATGCTTGTTGTATTTTTGGGTAATAAAATAACCAAAATATTTGTTAAATATGAAGATGCTCAGTGGCCTGCGTGCCAAACCGTATTTAGGAGGAAAGGTCCTTTGTCAGGCTGTATAGCCTTTAGTCTCTGCTCCCGCTCCTGTAAGTTTTTTCAGGGCAAGTAAAAATTTTAATTCAATTCAAATGAAAGCCGAGGAAAATGAATGCAGTTAGTGGGCAAACAGGTGGAGCAAGAAAGTTCTAAGGAGACAATCATTGCCATCTGTTGTATAAGTCGTTAAATAACGAAAGCAACTACCGTGTTCCTGTGAGAATATTTCCAGGGTCAACAGACCATTGTCACCCGTAGCGCCATTTGATGTGTAAAAACGTTACTGATAGTCAAGTCCGTTGTTCTTTGCACGACATAGTGTGCAGTCTCGTCAAAATAAAACTTTCGTATTGACTTTGGCAGCTCGATGTTCTAAAGGGGCCATGACATGGTCGCCCACCGCATTGCAGTTTTCAGTGAAATATACAACTAAAGGGTCCATTGTGCCTGTGCGTATACGAAAAATAGACTGAAAAGGAATACTTCACCGCGGAATGAGCCCTAGAAGTCGCAGGCTATAAACCCCACCCACAGTCGGCGACCGCTATTTTACCTTGGTGTGTGTGACATCAAGTGCTTCACAGAGTGTAGCCATTGTCTGCTACCCGAGTTCGAGCTGCTGCAGGCCATTCAATTTTCAATGGCAAACCGAAGAAAGCTCTAATAGCTCCATTGCACGCGTTGTTGACCATGAAACTATCGTTAGCTGGAATACAGGTGCCTGCAATACAGACGGCTTGTTACATCACTGCTCGCAAGTGCATCAAGGCTGTCAAGACTCTCGGGCTGTTCGCATGTTTATAAAAATGCTCGTAAATTTTATAAATTAAGTTCTCGGCCAAATGCACTGAAATTTCGCAAGCTTATTGGTGTACACCCAAGGGAAGGTTTAACCCACATAACTTAGATTATGAGCGAAAATTGGGTGTCATGGCCCTCTTTAACATGATAGTGTTACTGCCCATGTCCGAAGAAAAGCCTTCCGCTTAATCCAAAGAAACTGTGTTAAATTGAGTTCAGTGCCATGAAAACTTTGTTAGTTCAAAATAGTGACAACTCTTAACCCCATGGGTACCTAGCAGTGAGTGGAATTTTTTTATTGATAAATTCTGAAAATTCATAACATTGAGTCTTATTAGATTGTGTTTTAACTGTACTAACATTTAGTGAACTTCATAATCTTCATCTGCTATTGCATGTGCTCCATGTTCATTTTGTCCTGTTTGATGCTGTTTTTCCTCAATGAAAATGGCAAAGACGAGTAGATCAGGAAAAGATGTCTTTTTCAAACACATTTTTTTATTCTTTTTTTTTTCAGACATTGGAAAGATCTTATCTGTTGAAAATCAATGGAAAAGGTAGGTGCACCTACAGAAATGTGGTCTCTTACATTTTGCCTACAACTATTTAGCAAAATAATGAATTTACTAAGTATTTAAACTGCATTCACAAGCATAACTGTATAAACGTACCAGGCAATGAAGCTTGCTAAAAGATACCTGGAAAGACTGGCAGGCTGACTTACGGCAACGGCCAGACCTGGCACAAAGGTTGTGATCCTCTTTTCTGGGATGGCCAACTTCTTTCTCAATGGATTTAGTCTGTAGCAGTTTATAATATGTCAAGAGCTTATGTGAAACCCAGTGCAGCATGTTGATAGATGTTTGTAAGCCGCAATTTCTTGGTCCTCTTTTTGTTTCAGTTGTCGAACGCCCTCAGCACATGTTGATGCGAGTGTCTATCGGAATTCACGGCACCGACTTGGAAGCTGTTCTCAACACATACAACCTCATGTCAGAGAAATGGTTCACACATGCCTCGCCGACATTGTTCAACTCTGGCACCCCGAGGCCGCAGCTTTCGAGGTACAGCTCATCGTGTCTCGCTGTGCAGAAAAATTGCTTCTTCAGCATTCTGTGATTTCTGCATTGTTCTTGGTGCTGCCACTTGTTTTCTTCGGGGGTTTCTCAATCATGCGATTTGCAGCTATCTTATGTGTGAATGTTGTTTACTGACTGTTGTCATATTCTGTTGGCTTGTCTTGTTCAGTCTGGGAACACTTGTGGTGTATGAGGCGCTCACAGACTGAGCGGCTACAAAGTGGAAGGGGCAGGACCTGAATAGTATTTACCCTGCAATGTGCCGGCTGTGGGGCACAGCTGTTTCTTGCTGCAGATGAAGGAAGACAGCATAGAGGGCATCTATGACACCCTCAAGCAGTGCGCGCTCATTTCCAAGTCTGCTGGTGGCATAGGTGTCAACGTGCACTGCATCCGAGCCTCGGGGACCTACATTGCGGGAGTGAGTGTTGCAGCCCTCGTTACGCAGCAACAGGTCGCAAATCCCGCTCGCTACAATTTGCCATGGTTCTTGTTTTGCAGACCAATGGCACATCCAATGGACTTGTACCCATGCTGCGGGTTTACAACAATACGGCTCGATATGTTGATCAAGGAGGAAATAAGGTTTGTTTGAAAGAGGTTTAGATACGAGTCATTTATAATAATGCTAATACGATAGTGTAATGCTTAACTTTATTACTGATGGAGAGGATAATGCAGACAGTAACGCATTTTGTTTTTCAAGATAGAAGGCTCTCAGAGAAGGGCTTAAAGAATTTTGGAATTGTGATGTCTTTACGTATAAGGTACAAACAAATTGAGTTCTTTAGGTGACACTCGCAAGCGGAAGAGTGCCCCAAATGATTTGCTGTGAAAATTGTTTCTTTGTTGCAGTTTTCTTTAAAATTCACAAATTGTGCCATCACAGCAAAGTTGCTCACTTTATCCCATATCCCAGCAGTCTTTACGCATCCAAAAAAATCTATGAGTAGCTTTGCAGTTCAATCAACTGCTGAATAATCTGACATGGCTTGAAAACTCGGACACTTTTGCAGTACCATTGCTAGTCCCATAGACTTCAGTATATAGATCTCCTAAATTTTAAATAGTCAAGCTTGTTAGCTAATCTTTCAGATATTCTGCTCACATTTTAGATCTAAAATAGCATTCCTAGATGTGCTGCACACTACTAGGAATGATTGGCTTCATGCGGTGTGTTAACAGAGACTTTCATGAAATGGGACAAGGGGGAAAGCTGGACAAGTCATCTGCTTTTCAATCACAACCTTAGTGTTCTGTGTTATTTCCACGAGAAAGCCAGAATTCTTTTCAAACTTTGCTGGTATTGGCGGCTCTCATCATGACAGGCAAATTTGTAACTGGCGGATAGCATTTGGTTAAGCAAGGTTCGTTGGCACGTACCAATAGTGTTCACGAGACCCTCAGAGCTTGCCAAAACACCAGGTTAGCGTACCATGAATCTGATATCGCATATAATTGAAGCCCCCCACCTCTGCCGTAACTATCATCATATAAGTTTGAGCAGAGTGCAAGCTGTTTCGGACTTGACTGTAGGAACTTGACTGCTTGAGTGGAACAAACAAGCATGAATTTGTTTTTTCGGACTGCCCGATTTTTCAGGCGATTTTGTGGTCCCTAGGGAGTCTTAAAAATCGCTCTACATAGGCTCATTGCCATGCAATGTTGACAGCTTTCACATTGTCTTGTGGAGTCATGGTAGTGTCAGTGGTGACGGGTCCGGCATTTCAATGTCAGCTCTTGTATCAAATTCAAGTGTCTCATACCAACTTTCATACTTGCATAATGCCATCCTTTCATAGCTTCTGCAGACTTGGAATATGTCGGAAAGCAATCTTGACGCAGAAACACTAATCACCTCTTCAAGCAGTTGTACTTTGCTATTAATACTATTGGTGGTCGAGTCTTCATCTCAAACGCAGCTTTTATGTTTGTATTCAACAGAGGCCGGGAGCTTTCGCCATGTATCTGGAGCCCTGGCACGCAGACATCTTCGAGTTCCTTGAGCTGAAGAAGAACACGGGCAAAGAGGAAACTCGAGCTCGGGACTTGTTTTATGCTCTCTGGATCCCAGACCTGTTCATGAAGCGCGTGGAGGAAGATGGTGTCTGGTCGCTCATGTGTCCCCACGAATGCCCTGGGCTGCATGAAGTTCATAGTGAAGAGTTCGAAAAACTTTACACGCAGTGCGTACATTTTTCATTATTCAATACCTCAAAGGTTAAGGTAGAATCAATACTATGTCCCAGCTGTGATGGTCACATACTGACGGAAACGGAAATATAGAGAGGCCGATGTACTTATGTTGAGCGCACGTTAAAGAGCTCCAGGTGGTCGAAATTTCTGGAGCCCTTCTTCACAGCATGCCTCATAATCGTATTGTACTTTTTAGACTTGAAACCCCCACAATTACTAAGCCAGAAGCTTTACAAAAGGGTGAGAATGTCTCTTTGATGGTCTGCTTTTTAGAACCTGTGTAACATTTCGTTTATCTGAGTCACTTTGTCACAAAAGGCCCGAAAATAAGGAAGTTTATCGAAAAAAGGAACATTTGTTAGAGCATGTATGGCAGGCATGATTGAGTCATGGCAGGTAGCATAGGTAAATAGCCAGATTTTGGAAGACTATATCTCTAGGTAGCTAGATTCTTGAAAGATGTGCAATCCTTGTACTCATCTGGTAAGGCATTGTGCGTGGGCTTCGCAATGGATGATCAATGAAAAATGTCAAGAGACGCTGCAGGTTGATGAGCCAATAGACATCACCAGTGTAGTGTAGGTGACTCGTAATACAATGCTTCGTGAGACAGGTTGCCGAGATGAGGCATGCTGCTGAGAATGAGAGACTTAGTGTGATTACGGTATATATATATAAAAAAAAAAAAGCCGCCCACATTTTCCCACGGAAGGAACTCGAGTAAATGCATGACAGAGTGGAGGGGGGGGGGGGTGTGTGTTTGCGTGAGTGTTGCATAATTGGGTATGGTTTGGGAGTGCCTAATTGTTATTTCATCTTTATTATTCTTATTTATTGAATGAATGTCCCCACCCCCACTGCTCATGCTTGGCTTGCCCGGTGGTGTCTTATCCTTTAATGGCTCCTGGAGCGACAGTTTTGCAAGTGTCTTCCAGAGCCAGCACAAAACGCGCATGCGCAGTGGAGGTGTAGACAGCGCCGACACCGAAGCGCGACATCGTGCTACTTTGAAATGCGCCGCATTTAAAAATTCAACAAATCCCACGTACCTTGAGAATCGATGTTATATGAAGCATGCGGATGGAAGGTGATCTTTTTTTTTATTGATTGAGAAAGACGGTAAGAAGTGGCGCTAAATATGTGTACAAATCCACACACACACATATGTGAAACAGCTGCGTAGGTTTTATATGAGGAGTTGTTTGCCGTTGCATAATGGTGCCAACAGCAACATGGATATTAGAAACACCAGAAGCAGTAAGCTGATATAAAGCGCTGGTGTTGTTACTAGTACCTGCGAGGCTGGTAGCCCTCAACACTGCTACACAAATCAACTTTAGCGGATGGTGCCTAACTACAATTTATGTTAACCCGACATGACGGCTCTTTATAAAATTTGATAGTGTGCAGTACTGTAACCAGAATTGATGTTTCACAAACATTAGGGTCTGTTTGCAAAGTATTTTCAAGACCTGGAGTGTGCCTGCTGTAGAATACTTGATTGCCACGCAGAATGCAAGGGTTTGATTCCTGCTGAGACACTGACGTTTATTCTTTGCATTCCTCCAATCAACGCTGCCTATGTCAGCTTTTTCCTAACACTCACAACTGTGTGTGTTCTCGCCGTTCCTGGGTGGATATAAAATGTCTATCACCTGTGGCACATACCTGCCCCCGGGTCGGAGGAGGAAGATACACTTTATTATAAGAAACCAACAGCTTAGGTGGCCGGGCCTAAGCCTCCCATGAGGGGATGTCAAGGGCTTGCCTCGACGTACTCACAGGCGTGCTGGGTCGCCCAGGATTGGTCGTAAAGAGCGAGGCTCCGCAGAGCCTCATGGAGCTTCGACGAAAGGGTCGTGGCATTGGTGTGTCTGTACTGTGCTGGGCACTCCCACAGCATGTAACGCGGGTATGTGCCACTGTTTTTTCTAAAGTAATTGATGACGTATGCGACAAAATTGTGACATTATTGATGTCATGACCAGCGCGTTGTCTTTGACAAAAACCACCTTACCCTCCGATATTAATTTTGGTCTACCCCAAGTTAAGGGGGTGATCATGAGAGTACCCAGACGTAGGCGGCTAGGCAGAGAGACACAGTGCAAAAAGTGCTTGCAGTGGCTTGTGCAAATAGTGAATTTTAGGTTCGAAGCTAACAGTGATTTTGGTTGAATATTTTCGAATCGTATACGAATAGTATATATTACACATTAAGAAAAATGAGCACATTTATCATGACCTAACCAACCTGCACAGTATATTTTGTCAAGTTGAAGTAGGGCCTCTGCAATTGCATTTTTTTTTTTTTCAGAGGAAGTTGAAACAACTTTGAGTAGTAGCAGGTTTTGGCTTCTGGTAGGATGAAAGTAGGGGTAGGCAGGATGGAATCTGTGAAATATCTAACATTTCAAAATTAATTATACTTAGAGCATATAAGCTGCCATAATAAGGTCTTGATGGCTTATATGAGCTTAATAAAATGATAAATTGATTTGAAGGTAATATGCTCACTTAAACGAGCCCTGCAACACTTTTTTTAAGTAGCCTTGGAATCGATTTATTAAGAAGCTTATTGCCTTATGAATTCACCGCCGCAAAAATTTTAAGAATTCGTCCAGTATGAATGAAGTTACAAAGATTCGTTGCACGCCGTAAGTGCATTCTCTCTTCTCGTATTGACGAAAGCGTTGAAAGCTAAGCAGGAAGGGATGGCACGAGAAAAGAAAATATGTCACATGCGCCTCCTGAGCTTGAGCACTTTTTTTTTATCGTCTGATACGCGGTTTTTCAGTGTGATCGCACACGTATGCGTGGACAAGTGGCGGCCTCTCGCGGCAGCCCCAGTAACGACCGTGCATGCCATGCAGAAATCAACAAAAATTGCTGATAAAATGGCTGTGACGAGTTAAGTTTGAGCTTGTGGTGTCACTTGCCGAGAGAAATGAGCATTATAATTTATTGTGAAATGCAGGCCGCAAGCTGCGTTACAATATTTGGCTAGCATGTTTTTATTAGCTTCAACGACCGATCGGCAGCATTTTCTGACCGTGCTCAAAAAATGTTGCAGGGCCCCTTTAAATTTGAAGGAGGGCTTCGTGGCAGAGCGCACTTACCTTGGTTAGGTGCTTTCTCGGCTTGGCACCCCTACACTGCAATGAAACCACCTTTACAGGTGGTTACATGTGGATCAATATACACCATTTGTTCATTGCGAATACCTCAAAATTTTCAATGATTTAAATTCGAATCAAAGCGAATTCAAATACATTACTTTTCATTCAAATATTTAAAGCATTCGAATATTCGCACATGCTTATGCAGTATGCAAATAAATGCTCCGCATTTAAGGTTCTAGTGCTTAGCACAGGCTGAGTCAACATCCTACAGTGGTTATTGAAGATCTTTCAAAGAAGTTCCCATCGTGTCACTTCAAATTTAAAGGGTATGCTAGCTGCACAGGCAGTGGCAGAGCACTCTAAAGCTATCATGTGCGTGCTTCACGGCTGTTCATGGTATGGTAGCAGTGAGCATCCCAGGCACAAGACTCGGCTCAATGGTAAATTCACTGTTTATCCATGCTAGGCATGCCTCTTTGCATGGGAAGGGAAAAGAATGAGGAAGAGTAAAGGTGGTTCTTGATCCCATTATACACAGTATAAGTATGGCCTGTGCCATACAAACAATACCCAACAACATGCATTTAGTCGCAGACAGTTTTTGGCCAGAGTTGGTTGAGTATGACTCGGTAGTCTTACTGTTTCCAATCGCTTTTCACTGAAGAAGCTCTTGAAGAAGTAATTGTCAAATGGCTATCTTCTCTCTCTGTGCAGATATGAAAGTGACAAGCGTTACCGGCGGCAGGTACGTGCACAGCAACTGTGGTCCGCCATCCTTGAGTCTCAGATTGAGACGGGCACACCATACATGCTGTACAAGGATGCCTGCAATCGCAAGTCTAATCAGAAAAACCTTGGCACCATCAAGTGCAGCAACCTGTGCACCGAGGTCGTGGAGTACACATCTCCGGACGAGGTACAATTTGTGTGCACTGCAGCTTCACCCAGCATGTGCATGACGTCTAGTCGAGGGGGGGAGAGGAAAGCTCTCAGTAAACCTTGTGGCTGTCTCTTCTCACGTGAAAAGTACCTTTGGACAATTTACTGCATTTTTTATTTGTTAAGTTTTTAAAACATTTGAAAAAGGCTCAAGAAATTCAAAGGAGAATAGCAAGAGAATAGCATCTTCAATGTTTGTAGTTCTAGGGAAAACAACAATGTGGCATAAGGTTCTTTTAGTTCTTTAATAAAAACATATTCTCTTGTATTTCCAAGCATGATGATTTGTGGGGTTTAATGTCCCAAAACCACGATATGATTATGAGAGACGCCGTAGTGGAGGGCTCCGGAAATTTTGACCACCTGGGGTTCTTTAACGTGCACCCAAATCTGAGCACACGGGCCTACAACATTTCCGCCTCCATCGGAAATGCAGCCGCCGCAGCCGGGATTCGAACCCGCGCCCTGCGGGTCAGCAGCCGAGTACCTTAGCCACTAGACCACCGCGGCGGGGCTTGTATTTCCAAGCAAACAAACACTTCAATTTGCTAGCAAAGTGTACCACACTCAGTGTCTGGAGATTTAGTTGGCAGCTGTAGTACCAATATAGGGGCCAGGGTCTATTTACTGTTACATCTAATGCAATAAACCAGATCTGAACTTGAGTAGTGCCATACTGATCTTGAAAATAATCGTCAAGTGAGTAAGCTGTACAACTTCAGTGCAGTTTTAATAACCAAACGCACTGAAGCTTACTGTGCTTGCTTAAACTCGAGCTGAACTCAAATAAATTGCAGCTGTACTGGCCTTAGAGCAAAGTGTAACCACGGTCTTTTTTGCAGGTGGCTGTTTGCAATTTGGCATCAATTGCCTTGAACCGGTTTGTCAAGGATGGAAGCTTCGACTTTCAGAAGCTGCGAGAAGTCAGTCAGGTCATCACACGGAATCTCAATCGCATCATCGACGTGAACTTCTACCCAATTCCCGAGGTGTGATACTGGAGACCTTTGAGACAGTACTTGTATTGTTTAGCATTGTATTTTCGTTGGAATCCTGGAACAAGGCGATTTCATGGCATTGCTAGTGCTAACACGATGTTCATCTACATTTTAATTCTCTCGCGCTTGAAGTGACAGTTACTTCCTGATGCCGCAGTACTTTCATTCTCCACCTAGCAAGTTAACGTGATAGGAGAACATTCTAGTGCTTGTTCAAACACAGCATCATGAGATGGCATTCTCTCCCCAGCTCTACTATCGATAATTGGTATATCTTGGTAAGCCGCTCTATTATTGCTTTCAGTGAGTGCTAATACTGCCTTGTAGTGCTATTTCTGGGGAGGGAAATGTTGTGGGGATAGGAACAGTAAGACGGACATGAAGCAGACGCCACACAGGAGCACACGTGTGTGTCATTTGCACTCATTTGTATCCTCTACGCTTGTGTAGTATGCTGCATGTCCCATTTTTTGCACAGTTTCTTCTATTACGGTGTCGCCTATTTGTTAGTATCCTCTCGTAAACTTTTTACTTGCATTCTTTTTCCAAACTCAATGTGTAGGCTGAGAGATCCAATATGAGGCATCGTCCCATTGGCATTGGCGTCCAAGGCCTGGCGGATTGTTTCATCCTGCTTCGCTTGCCATTCGACTCTGAGCCAGCAATGCTGCTGAACAGACAGATCTTTGAGACCATCTACTATGGAGCCCTTGAAGCAAGCTGCGAGCTTGCACAAAAGGATGGACCATACGAAACTTACAAAGGATCACCAGTGTCTGAAGGGGTACATTCTTTTGTGCTGCTCTTTCATACCTGCCAACCCCCTGAATTGTCCGGGAGATTCCCAAGTTTTTATCAATCTCCCGATTGTAGAAATGCTATCTCCAATCTCCTGAAAAGTGACCACTACAGAGGTGTTCTTTTTCTTATTTTCTCTTTCTAATCGCAAGCGTATGTCGGCCTTTCCTGCTGCTATAGTTGCGGTGCTGCTGAAAAGCACTCGCCTGCACTTCTTATTGTAACCATAACGTAGAGTATTGCTAAGTATATTCTAGGCACTTTAATACCGCGTATCTGGGTGAAGGCTCGTCGCGAGATGTGCTGACTACCGTACCGAAAGAAGGAAAGGGAAAAGGTGCCGCAATTTTGTGTCTTTCTGTTTTGGCTCCTACGTTTTATATTGTACACTGGGCCTATAATGCCTGCCTAGGCATCAGTGGTGTTTGTTGCATGATCGTTGGGGTCGCATGTTTCCCCGAGTTCAGTTGGAAGGTCGATGGCAGTTTCAAAAGCAACGAAGTACCTGCAAGTGTTTCTGGACTCGTACTCAGCCAAGTTTCCTGCTTTGCGACTTCACAGAAAGGTGACAAATACAGATTCTGTACCGCGTGTGGCAAAAGTGGTTGGCTTAAAAATATCTTCTCTCTTCCTCCTTGTCCTTATTCTTCGCTTAGCAGTTGCTACTAAAACCCTGTGAGCGTAACTAGGGTGTGTGACGCAATAATATTGCTGTGGTAGTGTTGTGGCAGATTTAACTTAAATATGAAGCAAGAAAAGGTAACTATGTTGTGTCGATTCTTGCGCTAGCGTGGTTTGGCAAGCCTGCCTACAATTAAAGCTGTCAAAGCACAAAAATCTTGCTGCTGATAATCAACAAACCTTCTAAGTCTTGCAAGTTAAAATTTGGAATAATACTAACAAGGAAACTATAAATATAAGATTCTGTATCCTGTGAATTAAGCAGAGGAATAAAAATCTTTAGCATTTAAGAGAGCGGGAGATGCGTAGACTAGAGTGAATGGAAGTAACTGACCTTTCTGATTAAATTGGTGGCCGCGTCACGAAGTGCTTGAAAGGTTACAAACCATTGTTTAGAGAGTAACGAAGTTGGTACAAAATTGATGCAAAACATGGAGTAACTGGATTAGGGAAATGTACAGGCCTTGAAAGTAACTGCTGGGCACGGTTGTGCATGCTGGTGTCAATGGTGTTCTCATGTGTGGTGGCACATCTGGCGTTCCTGCTCAGATTCTTCAGTACGACATGTGGAATGTGACGCCGACAGATTTGTGGGACTGGGCAGCCCTCAAGGAAAAGATTGCAAAGTGAGTGCTCGTACAACTTTGGTTATAGGGAATTCATGAGTGGCACAGCGTTGTATTAGTGTCTTAAATTAGGATGATTGGTGCATAGTGCTCAGTTTGAACGAAAAAACACAGCTAGAAAGGGAAAACACATTTGATAGCCAAAAGCACCGAAACCGCAAACAGGCCACTGACCATATTTTATTGTATGTGTACGTCAATATATAGACGGAGAAACAATCACCGCTTTGAAAGATACATGAACTCATTTTTGTGAAGGAATAGCGAAAATATGCTGACGCAGGTCTCCACTTTTTGCCTGAAAGATTTCACGTTGGCATTGCTCTGCATAAGTGCCTAGTATTTCACAATCTTTAAAAACTGGCTCACAATCACGTGTATTCTCGTCTTGGTCCAGTTCTAGCGCTGTTTCTCTTGTTCAAAATCGCAGTGTTGTCTTATGAACATTTGTAGAATCGCTCAACAATGAAACTGTCTTTTGTACTCGCACAGGCATGGTGTCAGAAACAGCCTACTCCTCGCCCCCATGCCCACGGCTTCCACGGCCCAGATTCTGGGAAACAACGAGTCGATAGAGGCCTACACGAGCAACATCTACACGCGGCGGGTTTTGTCTGGAGAGTTTCAAGTATGTGTGATAATTTAATTCGGAAGTATAGTTAAAATTGTATTTTGTCAGCTAACATCTGCTTCTCATGACTTCCAAATTAAGTCAAAGAAAAATTGCAGAATTTGTTGACGAATCAATCATAAAGGTTTAATAAAAAGTATTGCAATTTACAGTCTGTTTTGAAATATTGCCTCTAACTTTATGAAAATGCAACTTAAGGTTTGTGTCCCCCAGAGAATGCACTTACTTTACCTTGATTATGCAACCTGGCTACTCTAGATGCACTGAATTCTAAAATTGTCATCATCATTTGTTACGGAAAAAGAGTGCTTGTGGCAGAGGAAGACATTGCCTTCAGAATAAATTAGCCGTTCTTTGTGGAATAAGAAGTTTTTCGACAATATTTTTATTGTATCTGAAACAACGAAATCTCTTCCTTTCATTCTTGCACTGTTGTGAATCGTCAGTTTGTACTGTTCATTAATTTGAGATTTTAAGTTTCCTTCTCAGCTGCATTCTCGGGGAAGCAAAATGCGTAAACTAGGCATGGGCAAATATTTGAACAAGTATTACAGTATTTGCATTTGCTTTGATACAAACATAAATTAGCTGAAATGAACAAAGAGACATATATTTGACCGCATGTAACGCATGGTGATTTCGCTGCAGCGTGGGTAAAGGTGGTTTCAGTGTCGTGGTTTCAGTTTATTGCCGATCGTTTCAGTGCCACTTATCCGGGGGGGAAATGTGCACTTCAAGCCACACTTCAAGGTTGAGCGTATATAATGACTTCAACTCAATTCTCTCGAGCTATATAGCCTATATAAAAAGCTCAGAAGCTTTTTATGTAGGCTCAACTGTGCGAAGTATAGTAAATTTATAAGCATAACATATTTACTGCATATATCTTGCACCCTATTGCTATTCAAATCCTGCTACTGTTGAAAGTTGGTTCCCCTTCACTTCGAACCAAAAAGTTACTACATTCGCACATGCCTAGTTCTAATTCTTACAAATATTGTGCAAGTTAATTGGGTCATGACAAAAATGCTCATTTTTCTTCATAATACATGAAATGTAATATTATAAATATTCGATTTGAAATAGTGCAGTCAAATCACTATTCGCTTTGAATCTCAAATTTACTATTTGCCCACCTGTAGCTACATCACTTCAGTACACACTTGAGGGCACTAAAAAGCTAGCTGGTCAAAGTTAATCTAGCTCCTGTTCTACCTGACCTGTGGGGTGCGATCGATAAATCATCCTTTTCTCATTAAAATTTTTCTTGCTAATGCTCACTGGTATTTTATATTAAAGGGGCATATAGAAAGGGCATTGTATCTGGTAATACCACATTTCATGTGCGTGGAGGTGCAAAGTTGAGCCATTTCGTTCCAGCTATCGGAGCTCATAGAACAGAATGCTTGATTTTTTTTTTTTTTTTTTCACTCACAGGTTGTTAATCAGCACCTTCTCAAAGACCTCACAGACAGGGGCCTGTGGAATGAATCGTTGAAGAATGACCTCATTGCCAACAATGGCTCTGTTCAGGTATGCCTAAAGTGTTCTCACATTGTACAGTTAACCGTAAGAGGCTGTATATAGGAAAATTAGCCTTTTTTTATTAAACTAGTTGTTTATATTGCTAATTGTTCATTTGTTCATGTAGACAATCATTTATGCCATGGCTTCATGCAGCACTGCAAAAGGCTTTCTTTCCGACCTCGTTTCTCAAGCCTGGCTCATGACTTGCATGTTTTCTGTGCAGAACAGCCTGAACATGTGGAATAGCATACATATAGCAGTTAACACAGCATACCTGCCAAGTCTCGCAGAGTGTCCGGGAAACTCCCTGATTTCGACCGCTTCTTCTGTTTGTACGGTTGTCATGAAAATCTCCCAGAAATCGGAATTTCTTTGCGTGATCTGCCTGCATTGGCAGAAATGCAGGTCAATCCACTTTAGGCTTTTTGCGAAGCCACCGCATTTTATTATGAACGAGTTTAGGAGGCTTTCATCTAAATGTTCAGTAAAATTTTAGTGATGCGAAACCACAGCAGATACGAATTCGTGAAATTCACCAGCCAATTTCTATTTTATCGATTGGGCCGAAATTCGAATGTTCCGAGCATTGGCGCACCGATTGGGGGAAGGGGGGTTAGGGAGTTTTAATTCCCCTCTTATATGCCCCAATGTCCTTGTCGCCGAGTCACCTGCTTCAGTGGTGCTCCGAAGGGGACGGGAATATTAGATATTAGGGGGTTTTGATTCCCCCACACCAGAGGTCGACCTCCCCCTTAAGTTGTCCTCGTTTCAATTAAAGAAGTGGCTTGAGGGCAGAATTGCCTGATTTATTTCATTAATTATGTCGTAATCACATATCTACTCCTATACTGAAAGAGCAGAAACCGCGTGCTCTGTGGCTCGAGCTGCGTTCACTTCCAGTAAAGCAGCTTTCTACAAAAAAAAAGTGCTTTCACGAGCCGTCAGTCTGACCGTTCTTATTTTATTCTTGGTGAAAGTCTAAGAGGGGCTGTGTACAATGACAATGCCCTGCGTGACTTGGCTTCGGTGCACATTGCATGTCACTTCAAAATGTTGTGCATCTAGCAGCTCAACCAGCTGTGTATGCAATGCTACATACATGTGTGTTGCAAATGAGCAACATTTGCAACATACATTTGTAATACTTGTGTCTATGTGCTTCGAGTTGTCGATGAATACACCCTCGTGCTGCCAAATGCTAGCTTCCTGGTTGGCTCAATTGGTAGATAGACCGCCCCAGATAGGTGTTGGTCCTGGTTCGAACCACGTACCAGGACGAATTTTTCAACAACTAAGAGGCTTTCTTTCTGAGAAATCCGTATAATTTTCTTGTGGCTTCGTGCTACAAATGTGTGGTTGTCTAGTTTCCCCTTCATACATGTATGTTCAGAACAAGAGTTCGCAGTGTTGTTCACCATTTATAGCATTATCTGGTTCACACGGGCAAATCTACTGCACTGACTTCCATACATGCAAATACCTGGTTGACTTGGACGCTCTTAATGCAATTAGAGATTAAGATCTCAAGTGCCTAGATACCACTAAATTATCGGCCTCACAAGGTTTGATTTAAGGGCCCTACTGGTGTGATGTGACGAAGCTGCAAAGTAATAACATTACGCTCATGTTGCTTTAAATGTGCAACTTTCTTCAAATAAAAAGTCATGAAATAATTTTATAGAAATAATGCCGGTGGCAGTTTCGTTACTTTTTCTGAAATTTTTTACATTAACATAAATTGTGTCCATCTAATAGCTTGTTTTCCTTTAACACTTTCCTGTCCGCCCCTATCCTTATCAACAGTATGCTGCCGGGCTTCAATAAATATTTTCTCGCATTCAGAGCGCTCTGGGACAACTAGCGCAATCCAGTGCATAAAAGAACTTTCTCTAGTTTCGCTTTTGTGTTTTCTTTTTTGGCCGCAGGAGGAATTTTCAAAGCGCCTTTTAGATGTCGTGCTAGACAAGCGCTCTTTGTTTCCGACATGGCGTCGAGGTCGCACGTGGCTGCTCCTCGGAAACGTGGAATTTCAACGGATTCTGATGAATCTGCTTGAGAATTTTGTCATGGTGGTAGCAGCAAAGACTCGGAAAATGACTGATTCGTCAGACTTTTGCACGGACGGTGAAAGTGCGTCATCTAGCCCCGAAACATTGATAGGTATCCGCCGGTTGGTTAGGTTTTCTACTCCGAACCTCATCGTGGCGGCGATCAGATCTAAAGACATCCGGTGTGCTCTAAAGGTCACAGTTCTTATCTGCAGGGTGTAAACGTCGTTTGAATGGGATCACCTATTGGCGGCGGCACAGAGAGTGTAGTTTTGCGCGAGAAGACGGCCAGGTGTTGACCTCTACATTGCGCTCCGCAGTGCCGCACGGCGCTTCGTAAGAGCCACTGTGGCTTAACTTTTTTTTTTTTTGGATAAAATTAACTTGTACAGATATAAAGTTCGCATTTGTAGTAATGTTGTAGATAGTATTCTTCTTTAAAATGTGTATTTGGAAATTTTTTTAGGTTGCGTTGTTGCAAAGCAGCATCCATGATTTTATGGAGTTTGCTCGTTTTTCTTACAAATATTTTGCTACAAAAATATTAAGAAATGTTTGTTTGAAAATTAGAAAGCACAATCCTTCTGCTACAAATCGATCTATACATTAATGATATAAAGCATGTAATGTAGCAGTAAAAAAAAATTTACTACATCGCCCAAAAACTGTTTATTCTCCTGTGGAGAGAAAAGTGTTAAATAGTCAACAATAAGCACACTACTTGCCGAAAAACATATTTTCGCATCGTAAGTGAGCTTCTCAAAACACGAAGTAAGAACGAAGGCACCTATTCAACGGCAAACGCGTGTCGCGGTGCATAACGGTGCATAATTCAAATTGGCAGGATGAAATCGGAGCCCGTGTCTGCATGTCGCCGCGACGAATATAACAATGAAACACACCAAGGAACATGCTTGTAATCCATTCCAACCGTAGCCGTATCTTCTCAAGTCGCATTTATTCTTAAGTCGCATTTAATCTCTCAGCTAAATTTCTTAAACAGGTATTCAGTTCCCCCTTGAAACAAAGGCTCATTGTCGCTCTTGGATGTTCTCGCTACCTGAGAATAAAACTGCTAACATACCTACCTTAACAGATATCCTCAGTTCACTTCAGACCGCCCGAAAATACGCGATACATCAGTAGTAAAGTCAGTAATGCAAAGAGCCGCAATTCAGTGCTGCACACAACTAAAAAAAAAAGGGAAAGAAACACGATATATTTAGCAATCTCGCCAAAAACAATTACCAAAGATTGTTTATTCAAAATCAATTCCCTTCCAAAAAACACGATGATGTGATCTTAGAAATGCAGCAACAGTATTCCCCTTTTTAACACCACGACAGAAACATATCACTCTCCATTGTACGAGGCGCCAGCGATACCATCGCCAGTTTGAAGCGAACTCGGGCGACGTGCCACTCGTGGAAGGCTGAGTCAGGTGATAGTAAAAACACGAGTGGCCCGTTCACTTTTGCTGCGGCCACACACACTCGCACTCCGAAACAGAAGGGATAAAGGCCGAGCTAGAGCCAGTTCTAAACCCGAAACGATGCTGCGCACGTGCCTTGAAAGTGAAACCACATTTTCAAATAACTGCTCACGTACTCGGCTACTGAAAAAAAAAAAAGCAAAAAAGTCTCGCTGACTTCTTACGCTCTGAATGCGTTGCCCGCAGCGGAGGATTGGGACGGGCGGTTCGTGCCTCCCCTCTTTGAACTCTAAAAAGGAACCATATTCCGAAACATCAAGACAATTCCCACTCAAAGTTGTAAAGATAAGAAGGCGCTTCGAAGCACGTGTTTTCTGTTTTATTGCTTGCGTTTTCTGCAGGAAAATGGTGTCTCCAGAAGTGTGGTCGTGCATTTTCTCTTGAACAGCGGACGTACAATGAGCACTGGAGGGGCGAGAAAAAAGGCGACCTTGCACCCGGCTCGTTCGTCAAAGCGACCGCTAATCGCGGAGGCTCTGCAGCAGGAGCACATGGCAATATTAGATTTAGCGCATACGCACACGTTGGTTCCTGCATTTCTGAGCAAGCCTTATAGAGTGCGCGCCGCCAGCCACCTCGCAGTACCGTACACATGCAGAGACCCCAAGCAAGCACGACTGCCATGCGAAACCTACAGTTGCAAAGAAGGGAGCATAAGATGCCGTGGTTTAATGAGGAAAAATGTCTTTGGGAACTTGCAAAAAGTATATTGGTGGAGCTCACCTTTTCTTACTTTTTTTTTATATGCTATGTGTCACACTCTTTTCTTTTACCCCTTCTTTCTTGCATGTGGTACATCGGGCGAAAGCCATCCGTGCATGCATACGTTCAGTTCGCTCGCTACAACTTGGCGCTCTGCATCTGCTGCGCGATGGTGCGTCAGCAGTGCGCTTACAAACAGACCACAGGTATTGCTGAAGTGCCAGTCGAACACGATCCTCACCGACCTCCCGAAAAAGATTCCGCATTGAGATTCAAGACATGCAGCGATAGCGCCGGCATCCTCGATTACAGCCAAAAAGGAAGCGATTACTCTGCACGTACTGCCGTCAGATGCGCCCATCGATTAGTCATCACTGAGGATGCTTCAGTCGCCAAACTTGAGCACTCGAATGACATTGCGAATCAGTAAGCGTAGTTACGATGCAGTTGATCCGTAAGCTCGGAATATTACTACATGTGCGCTGCGTTGAGCTGTATATACTTTTAATAATCAATACCGCAAAGCTTATAATCAATATTTACGGTGCACTTTCACATTTGTAGTCTGGCGAGGCTCAAGGGAAGTTAAATATATAGGATATCCTGTTTGCATTATCCTGAAAATTCTCAGCTGCAGTTCTTTAACTACAAAAGTTTACAATGGGGCTTGTTTGTATTGCATTTACTAACTACTCAGGTAAAAAGACAAAATACACAATAATTGGGACACAAGAAAGGCACGCTGCGCCAGGTGTCGCCGTGTGTCTTTCTTGCATACCTTTTGCTTGCTCTACCATAGTAGTCATATTCCTTTTAAAGAGCAATGTATGACTGCCAGCCAGCCGACACATCCGCACCAGAATCGCTAAACCTAGCTGAAAAGCTAGAAAAAATAAGTATTTGTTGGACATCTTTGTTGAGAACTATGTTGGGCCTTGTTTTATTTGATTTCCCGTTTGTTTTCTACGTGCACTTGCTTCATCGAACAGTTTCTTGGCCTACTCAAGGTCTCCCGGTAAAACCGCCTAGGGATCGTTGTCATCGTCATCTCATTATATCTAATAATAGTAATGATGATAATAATCATGTATTATTATTAATATTGCAGGTATTATAACCTATAATAGTTATTTAGTATGGTGGTACTTTAGTTTTATCTGAAGTTTCAACACCCCCCCAGAGAGAAATCCTGGGTGCGCTAATGGTTCCGAGCATTTTTCCTAATCACGGCAAGTGATACGAGCTTTAGTACCGAAACCGACGAACGAAGGCCGAGAGCAGCATGCCCAAAGCTTTGGAAGTACGCGTGCGACCAGCGCACGCATTGTTTTACTACAGTGCGTGTGATTGTCGTTGCTACAACTGCTGTGGACGAAATCGCGGTCGTTCTTGACACGATCACAAATGGCAAAGATGTTACTGGCAGAACTGTTAAAGTCTGCACACGTATTATGACGCCTGACCAGTCAAAGCAACGCTGCTTTCCGCAAACTCTGTGGACAAAACTGCGGCAGATGCTGTCATGAATAGCATAAAAGACTTAGTTTTGAAGGCACGTGCGCTGCCAGTGCTCACGGATTGAAAATGAAACTACCATTTGCTGCAATCCCGGTGACACCATGGCGATCTACGAGATTTGAGGGCATGCGGCTAATGCAGCAATAGATCAAAGCAATAAAGTCGAAGAAAGTCTAGAAGCGTTTTGGCATTCCTGTACAAGGAATCTAGTAGAGAGCAAAGCTTTGACCCACACTTTCGCAGCAGCCAGCTGCGCCGTCTCGTCCGTTCATGTGTGTCCCAAGAAGACATGCGCAAGTTGTTTTGACGGAAATACCTAGATTTTTCTGGTTGTTTTGATGACTGGAAATTTTGGGAGTATTTGCACTCCCCCTTGAGACTTTCACCGTAGTGGGAAACCTCGTGTGTTCGGCCACTCCAAGCCCATGTTCGCATTTGCGATTGGACCCCCTCCTTCCCCCATCTTTTACTTGTTTTTTGTTGTTGTTTTTTGTGTAAAAAAAATGGGTGAAGAGATAATTTAGCCCCTCCCCCACCCCATTGCTGAAATCTCCCGGATTCAGAATCCATGAACTTGGCAGGTATGCAGACAGCAGAGCACATTGCTGATGTACAGTGGTGTCTGTGTATGTAATGCATAAATTATTCATTGTTTGGGGTCATAGCATAACTGCACACATTTTTGAAGCTGTTACTTTGTAAATTTGGGCAGATTGTTGCATAGCTTCTAATTACCTGGCATTTCTCTATTACCTAGGCAAACCACTGGGTCACTGTTAGCATTAGCTAAAGCACCTTGCAACGCAGAAGCTGCTTTCAAAGAATCCTAATTGGATCTGTGACGATTTGCTTTGAAGGGATGGCTTCTGTGTGTACTTGAAAGGGCGCTGCATCGGTCCCTCGAATAATCATCCAATGGCTTCATTAAGAGTATTGCTTCGTGAATTGACTGCCGAAAAATTCTATAATCCGTCATATATCGAGGAGTTACAGGGATTTGTCACTCGCTTCAGGTGCTCTCTCTCTCTCCTTTTGTACTGGAGAGCACGCTGAAGGCTACGCATCAAAGGAGATGACAAGGAAGCAAGATGATGTGTTGATTGTCATTGTGTGTCATGACTTCAAGCTTTTTTTTTTCTGTCATCTTCGATTACGTGGCTCATTTTCAGTGTGACCACGAGTGCACTCACAGGCACCTTGCAGTGGTCACAGCAATCATGCAGCTCATGATGTTCCAATCAGCCAATGGCTTTGAACTTTGGATTTATGGCATCATTTGTCATGACGAGTGTGGTTTCCCACTTTGAAAATCACTTATATGTTTCAGGCCACATGCTGCGCTGTAATGTTTGGTTCGCATGTTCTCGTGAGCCTCGACTATCGATTGGCAAGGTTTTCTGAACATGCTGAAAGTTGCAGGGCCCCTTTGAGCACAGACTGAATTTTCAACATTGGTCCTGATGGCTCGACTATACTGTAAGGTTGGCTAGGTGTTGACTCATGCAGGACATGTCCCTTTGGTGCAATAACAACAGCTTTGGCTTTATCACTTTCTCCCAGGACTTGGACATCCCTGAAGACCTGAAGGCCCTTTACCGCACCGTTTGGGAAATTCCGCAAAAGAATGTCCTGCGAATGGCCGCCGACCGTGGAGCTTATATTGACCAAAGCCAGTCACTTAACGTTCACATAGCCCAGCCCAACTATGCCAAGCTGACAAGCATGCACTTCTATGGCTGGAAACTGGTAAGAGTGTCACCATCTGGTAACACGCGTTTACTGCGGCATAATGTCATTGTTCATCTGCTGAAATTGGTGACAACCATCACTGAAGTTAGCCAACAGTATCTGTCTACAGCAGCAGTGCTCCTTGTCTGATCTGCCTCAAACTGATCTGAGCAGTCTTATTTTCATATTCAACTTCTGTATAGGTTTTGAAATTACCGTGAAACGTAAAGCGAATCTGCATGTTTGGCAGGTATCTTCTGCCACAAGAATGGCAACACTAGTAGGCTTGTGCAAATATTTGAACGAATATTTCTGTATTCAAACTTCCTTTGATTCGAAAAATATTCGAAAATTTTGGACAGGCCATCACTGGCATTCTAACAGAGTGTGAAGTCCTGCTCCTATTCGAAGTTGTTTTCACTTCTTCTGAACCAAAAAGAATGGCATTTGCACAGGCCTTGTTTCTGTTTTTAGAAAAATATTGTGCAGAGATCAGTTGAGTCTTGAAAAAATATGTGCATTTTTATTTATATTTTGTCATATATGTACTCTTCGAATCTGATTAGAAATGATTCGACCGAAATCACTATTCACACAAACCTAAACATAAGTGCTCATGCATGTTCTGCTGTTGCAGAACATGGTCGCTGTGAAAGATTGAAATGGTGGAGAAGTGAAAATACAGTTGTATCGAAAAATTTTGTTTAGAACTGTGTCCTTTGCCTGCTTCATCCAAATCGAACATTAAACACTAAAAAATTCCGTAAGCAAAGGTTGTGCGCTCGAGCCGACATTGCCACAAGTGTACTTGTCTTGTGCTAGGATAGAGCTGAATTTCATGCTTGCCTTGAAGAAGACAAGTTCGCTTGTTAAAACTTCAACGCGAGCACACAACCAGTAAATACATTTTTCTCTTCTAAAGCTTCCGTTTTCCTCTTCCCGCCGTCTTATGGAGAAATACTGTAAGATGGAAACATAACTTTGAGATGGCATATGAATCTTGCTAGCATTGTGTTTGTTTTCTCGAAAATTTCCGTTCATGTTGCAGGGCCTGAAGACTGGCATGTACTACTTGAGGACAAAGCCAGCAGCCAATGCAATCCAATTCACAGTAGACAAGACTGCACTCAAGAAGAAGCAACTGGATGGCATCGCCTGCTCACTGAAAAACAAGGACGAGTGCCTCATGTGCAGTGCATGATATCTTTGAGGCTTCAGACTACCTTTTACCGTGGAACTTTTTTTAATTGCATAGGAACATATTGTAATGCATGAATCCATTTCACACATCTCGACATTTGGCAGGTGCCTGCCAAGTGACGGTTTGTTCATTTAGCCAGGTTCCTTCTCTAATTGTTTATTTTGTGTAGTGTGTCCTGTACACATGGTCTTGGTGTGTTGCTTTCTATGTGAACATACTTCGTTAAATTTTTATGAAGACAGCCGGCAAGTCATCGCTGTGCATTTTTCTCGTTTTTGCATTATGAGCGAAGTTTCTTTGGGCATTTTGTGTCATATTTTAATTCTTCACGTGACGTCTTCATAGACATCCCGGTTTTGTGATATGTTATCCAATGAATAATGCATTTATGTTGCAAGTCGGCATAGGCATTTTACTTGAGCCGAGTTAGTTTTTTTTGTTGCTTTACATTTTATACACAATGCAGAAAAAAAGAATTTTTTTAAGAAGCAAGCCTTTTGAAAGCTGCAGTTCACTGTTCATGCCTTTTACACAGCAACATTGTTCATGAACATATCACTGCCCATGCGTCTTGTGACTGAGCTTTGTTGTGCATTTAAGTATGTCTTTTACATTTGCATTCGATTTCATTATGCACCATATACCATTTACAGGTATTTTACTTGTTTACTTTTACAATCTTTCTCTTTTTGTCGATCGAGCAGTAAATAGATTTTCCCAACGTTGTGTCAAGACCTTTTTATTTACACAGTTGTCATAACGCTGTGAAGCTCTTGCATTGTTGATGCAAATTTCTGGAATAGAATGAATGCAAAGTATTTGATAAAGAAAAAAAAAATTTCAAGCTGATGCACTACTTGTACCTGGAATTCTGGGACTGTAAGTTCAATAGTGTGACGAGATCGGTGGCTGGCGGAATCTTCCACTGTCAGTTCAAGCATGACAAAAGGAGAGTTCAGGTTCTTGCAGAGATCGGACATGGCTGCAACGCCTATTTTCCATTCGACATTCACCAGCTGAAGTAGGCAAAAAAAAGAAAGAATGCTTAACAGATGGCTTTTAGAATTGCCATCTGCCTTTGTTTACCTTCCCCAAGGGTCCAGCTGGCTTTCCTACCTGCAAAGTAAGATGAAATCATTGTTTGCCAAGAGTAAAACTCGATTGTACAAAAGTGGTCGCACAATAAAGGACTTCAGGTATGCTACTGTTCACAAAAATCAGTGTCAACAAGACTTCAGCCAAACAAATTACGTTTCCGACATTGTGGTTCGAATGAGCCATCCAGGAATTGTCAGATGTGCCTAGAAGAATGTAAAATGAAAACTGCACAGGCTCCTTCATTTAGAGTAACAGAAAACAGTTTTAAATATCGCTAGATTTGTTTACCAGTAAACAGGCCAATTATTTGCAAAAATGCAAGGCTGTGAAAGGAGATAGAGAAATCTGCAACAGGCATTTGCTTTCTGCAGCGAGTCTGCCTTTGCTGCGACCGTACTCGCGTATTGTAGGCGCGAGAAACATTCTAGGTCAACTGAACCAAACAAAAAGTTATCGCTCCTCCCGATTGGCTGATGCAGCAACCGCCTACTGCGGCCCGCAAGAAAAATACGCAGAGTACAATGGAATCTTCGACAAATCGCACTGGTGCGATTTCCAACGGTAATTGTGGGGGTTCTTGCGTTCCAAATCCACGACACCATTATAGACGCCGTGGTGGAAGGTTCTGGAAATGTAGACCGCCTCAAGTTCAACGTGCAGCTAAACTTAAGCACACGGCCCTCGATCACTTTGTTTCCATCGAATTCGTGCGATCTGTCGAAGATGTCAAAGGCAAAACACGAGTTTCCGGTTGCCCACGTGATAACGAAATGCAAGTAGACTCGTACGTTCGATGATGCCATCGCCTTCAACAGCGCCACAACTTCGGCGTCCAAGTGCAGGTCTTCGAGTAGGGACGTCGCGGGTGCCTCTTTCAGAAACCGCAATGCCCTGTGCATATGTAACAAATAAAGAACAGAGTCGGCAACGCACGGCGCCAATATGTGGCACTTCGTCACTTACGAAACCAAACACCTGGAGGCCTCATACGCAGCGTTCAGGTCCTCCGGAGATATACGGCAGGTCCTTGCTTTCTGCAAAGACACATTTCGTCGAATTGGGCAGGTGTTGCACAGCGGAGGCTCATTTATTTACCTCCTCGAGGGTAAGCGCTGAATCGAACTGAAAACACGTCGCGATCTGAAATACAAACAGCGCGCTTTGGCCATTGCTGAAATCACAGATGTAATCGCAACATTACCAGCGCTTTCTGTACTTCAACCGGGTGTTTTCTGATCACTTCGGCGGCGGCCGCTACACCTGGGAAAAAGTGTCATCGAAAACAAATTTTCAGGTACGTCACGCCCACCGCCACTCGCAGTACAGCTCCACGAGATTCAGCCGTTGTGCCGCTGAAGTAGGCGAACCTTGAACCTTTAAATGTGCCTTTATAGCCTTTATATAACTAGAAGAGGGGTGGGGGAGTTACCTTTTGCGGCTTTAGCCATATCTGTCGCCTAAAATCTTGAGTATTCCGACCAAAGCTGTGCAAAGTAGTTGAAGTAAGTTCAAACATAGAATCGTGGACAGAAAGTAAACAAGAAGTGACGTCACCGTGCTTCACGGCATAAATTTGCAAACGCCCCCAGCACAGAACACCAACACATAAACAAATTCTATCAAATATGAGATAGTAACTTCGTCTGTTGCACAGCTTGAATACATTTCTTGACAAACCTTTGAGCTAAGTTCAGCGTCCGGCGGGGGAATTCGAATCAAGAAATGCTTGGCCTCTGTGACTAAAAGGTGCAAGCGGTATCACGGAGGCCACGTGCAGTTGTGGTAGTAGCATTGGTGGTATTGCAGTTCCAGCCGCTGGCTTGCTCGCAAGCTTGCGGATCGAAAGCTGAAACTTCACAGGGCCTGCGGATATTGCAGTTGTAACCAGGATATGGGTAGGCCCCGGATAGTTCGGACGCCTGAAGAGCAACGTGAGTATGAAGCGCGTCGAAGGGAACAGACTCGCGTCACTCAACAACGCCGTCGTGCCCGTGCTGAGGTTCGTGCCCAGGAAGCCGAGCGTAGGCGTATAGCCCGGCAAGACCCAGCTGTTCGTGCCCAAGAAGCCGAACGGATGCGCCGAGCGAGGCAAGACCCTAAAATTCGTTCCCGAGAAGCAGAGCGCAAGCGCCTAGCCAGGCTGAACCCAGAACTTCGTGCCTACGAAGCCGAACGCAAGCGTTTGGCTAGGCGAGACCCAGCAGTTCGTGCTCTTCAAGCCGAGCTGAAGCGTCAGGCGAGGCAAGACCCAGCACTTCGCGCGAAAGAAGCCGAGCGCAAACGTCAGGCCAGGCGAAATCCAGAAATCCGTGCTCTAGAAGCCGAGCTCAAGCGTCGAGCCAGGCAGGACCCAGCGTTTCGTGCCCTAGAAGCCGCGCGCAAACGCCAGCGACGTCAAGACGCTGCAGTCCGCGAACGGGAAAGTGCATACAAACGACTTAAGCGCTCCGAGCATAAATTAGGTAAAGAACAAAACAAACCTTATGACAGTACAGATGATGAATTTGAGGAACAGTTTCCGAATCAGAAGCATGGATTCTCTTGCGATGCTTGTGATCGATGGATTGAAGAGGACTTGACAGTCGTTGCGAACGTCAAAAGTGAACTAATAGAAGAAAATGTTGTGATTCCGCAGAGTGCATTTCCTCACGCCGGTGTTCGAAACTTCAAAGTGTGTGATTCATGTAAAAGCTCACTGGACAGTACTGTAAGGAGCATTCTTAAAACTTCTGTCTAGCACCAAGCATGTGCAACATGATCTTCAGCCGTTGCACATGTCTACAATGCCAGTCATAATTTTATGCACTACCATTCTAAGAAAAATCCAGATGATTCCTTACAAGACGAATTCAGGTGCCTAGGATTGCCAGAAAAATTGCCGCAATTGTTAGGCAGTGAAGTACAAGGTGACACTCATGGCTAGTCAATGCTGGTTCACTGGCGCCTCACACATGTGGCATCACACGACAACATTCTAATATATCTCATCTATGCTTCTCTGTAACCTGTGCCTACGAGTACTGGCATGTACCAGTAAAGCAAGCGCAAAGTGGAGTTGCCGTTGTGACGTGCAAGCATACATATCTATGCTAAACATGCAAGTTGCAACTTTGTGCATATCGCCAAACACTTCCCGAAGCGACAAAGAAATGTCTGGGTGCCCTTCACATGGGTGAAAACTGATCGTACATCAGTCATTGCTGCGTGTCACCCCGCCGCGGTGGTCTAGTGGCTAAGGTACTCGGCTGCTGACCTGCAGGTCACGGAATCAAATCCCGGCTGCGGCGGCTGCATTTCCGATGGAGGCGGAAATGTTGTAGGCCCATGTACTCAGATTTGGGGGCACGTTAAAGAACCCCAGGTGGTCGAAATTTCCGGAGCCCTCCACTACGGCGTCTCTCATAATCATATGGTGGTTTTGAGACGTTGAACCCCGCATATCAATCAGTCATCACTGTGGGAGGCTTCAGCGCTGACATTTCGAAGGCCAAAAAAAAATAGTTTCTCCATTACATTTGCAATGAACTTTGTCGCTTCTGTTGCACGAATCCAGAGTCCAACCACAGTCATCTCACATGCATTGACGTCGTCGTCATTATCATCATCAGCCCGACTACGTCCACTGCAGGACAAAGGCCTCTCCGATGTTCCGTTAGTTAACTCGGTCCTGTGCTTTCTGCTGCCAATTTATACCTGCAAACTTCTTAATCTCATCTGCCCACCTAACCCGCTTGCCTTCTCTGGGAATCCAGTTAGTTACCCTTATTGACCAGCAGTTATCCTGTCTACGCGCTGCATGCCCGGCCCATGTCCATTTCCTTTTCTTGATTTCAACTATGATATTCTTAATCCCCGTTTGTTCTCTAATCCACTCTGCTCTCTTCTTGTCTCTTAAGGTTACACCTACCATTTTTCTTTCCATTGCTCGCTACGTCGTCCTCAATTTAAGCTGAACCCTCTTTGTAAGCCTCCAAGTTTCTGCTACGTAGTTAAGTACCGGCAAGATACAGCTGTTATATACCTTCCTCTTGAGGGATAGTGGCAATCTACCTGTCATAATTTGAGAGTGCTTGCCAAATGTGCTCCACCCCATTCTTATTCTTCTAGTTACTTCAATCTCGTGGTTCGGCTCTGCGGTTATTACCTGCCCTAAGTAGACATAGTCTTTTACAACTTCAAGTGCACTACTACCTATCTCGAATCGCTGCTCTCTCCCGAGGTTGTTGTTCATTACCTTCGTTTCCTGCAGATTAATTTTAAGACCCACCTTTCTGCTCTCCTTGTCTAACTCCGTAATCATAAGTTGCAATTCGTCCCCTGAGTTACTCAGCAATACAATGTCATCGGCGAAGCGCAGGTTACTAAGGTACTCTCCATTACCTCTTATCCCTAACTGTTCCCACTCTAGGCCTCTGAAAACCTCCTGTAAGCACGCGGTAAATAGCATTGGGGAGATTGTATCCCCCTGCCTTACACCCTTCTTGATTGGTATTCTGTTGCTTTCTTTATGAAGCACTATGGTAGCAATTGATCCCCTGTAGATTTCTTCCAGGATGTTTACATATGCTTCATCGACGCCCCGATTCCGCAGTGTCTGCATGACTGTTGATATTTCTACTGAATCAAACGCCTTCTCGTAGTCTATGAAGGCTATGTATAGTGGTTGGCTATATTTTGAGCATTTCTCTATTACCTGATTGATAGTATGAATGTGGTCGATTGTTGAGTAACCTGTTCAAAACCCTTCTTGTTTCGTTGGTTGATTGAATTTTAATGTTTTTTTTAACTCTGTTAGCAATTACCTTTCTAAATAGCTTGTATACTATGGAGAGCAAGCTGATCAGCCTGTATTTCTTCAAGTCCTTGTCATCTTTTTTTTTATGTATTAAGATGATGTTAGCATTCTTCCAAGACTCTGGTACTTTTCCTGTCAGGAGACACCTCGTAAACAGAGTGGCTAGTTTTTCTAACACAATCTGTCTTCCATCTTTCAGCAGATATGATGTTACCTGATCTTCACCAGCAGCTTTACCTCTTTGCATGCTCTCCAAGGCTTTTCTGACTTTTTTCTATCATTACTGGTGTGGTGTCATCTGGCTTACTGCTAGCTCTTATAGTATTAAGGTCATGGTTGTCCCGGCTACTGTAAAGATCTCTGTAAAACTCCTCCACTATTTTAACTATCTTATCCATATTGGTACTTATTTTGCCTTCTTTGTCCCTTAGTGCATACATCCGATTTTTGCCTATCCCAAGTTTCCTCTTCACTGTTTTGACGCTTCCTCTGTTTTTCAGAGCGTGTTCAATTCTCTCCATGTTATACCTTCTTACATCAGATACCTTACGCTTATTAATTAACTTCGAAAGCTCTGCCAGTTTTATTTTGTCTGTTGTACCTGAGACTTTCATGCTTTGACGCCTCTTATTGAGATTCTTCATTTCCTGGGAAAGCTTGCTAGTGTCCTGTCTAACTGCCGTGCTTCCAACTTCCACTGCACACTTCGTAATGATACTCGTCAGATTATCATTCATTGTATCTAAGCTAAGGTTGGTTTCCTCAATAAGAGCCGAGCACCTGTTCTGAAGCGAGACCCTGAATTCTTGTACTTTCCCTCTCAGTGTTAGCTCATTGATTGGCTTCTTGTGTATCAGTTTCTGTCATTCCTTCTTCAAGTCTTGGCGAATTCGGGACCGTACCATTTTATGGTCACTGCACCGCACCTTGCCAACCACTTCCAAATCCTGCATCATGCCTGGGTGTGAACTCATTATAAAGTCTATTTCGTTCTTGTTTTCCGTAGAAGGTATTCAAAATTCGTAAATTATTGCGTTCTGCGAATTCTACTAGTAGCTATCCTCTGGCATTTCTAGTACCGATGACATAATCTCCTACGTCTGGTCTCCAGCCTGCTTCTTCCCTACCTTTGCATTAAAGTCTCCCATCAGTATAGTATACTGTGTTTTTACCTTGCTCATTGCCGATTCCACGTTATCATAGAAGCTTTCAGCTTAAGCATCATCATGGCTGGATGTGGGCGCGTAAGCCTGTACCACCTTCATCTTGTATCTCTTATTGAGTTTAATTACGATACCTACCACCCTTTTATTCCTGTGAATTAGGAATTAGCTATGTTCCTGTGAATTAGGAACCGCACTCCCAGTTCTCTTTTGTCAGCCAAGCCCCGATAGCAAAGGACATGCCCATTCTGTAGCACTGTATAGGCCTCATCTGTCCTCCCAACCTCACTGAGCCCTTTTGTATCCTATTTAACACCCTCTAGCTCCTCAAACAGTACAGCTAGACTTGCCTCGCTAGATAAGGTTCTAGCGTTAAACATTGCCAAGTTCAGGTTCCAATGGTGGCCTGTCCGGATCCAGAGATTCTAAGCACCCTCTGCTGCGTTGGAGATCTGACCGTGGTCAGTTGCTTCGCAGCTGCTGGGGACTGAGGGACATGAGTTAATTGACGTAACATTGTTCCAAACCTTCAGTTAAGTGAAATTATGAAGGGGCATGATCTTGTACACTGTTGTTATTCCAAAT